TAACGTTGGGCGAAGGAAAATCAAGAAATTACGACGATACAGAAACAAAGAATAAATTTTTAAAATCATATTTATTGAAACAAAACATTTTAAATTCATTGGCTGCGAGTGCAGCAGGCAGCCAGCGGCGTGCGAGTCGCTGCGTTGTGAATAAATGAACGCAAATCTTGCCTCCCTCAGCAGTGCTGCTGTGCTGCCCTCAGCAGTGCTGCTGTGTTGCCCTCAGCAGCTGCATGTGGCAGGCACACGTGGCAGGCATGGCAGGCACACGTGGCAGGCATGGCAGGCACACGTGGCAGGCATGGCAGGCACACATGGCAGGCATGGCAGGCACACGTGGCAGATGGCAGGGGGCCAAGTTACCGTACACATCACAGCAGCAGTTCGTAAGGTCACTAAAAATAGTCAGCGGCGTAACTGTGGCGGCAGCGACGGCGCATTCCATCATAATTTTATAAATATCTTAACAATTCTAACATCGCATTTCATCAAATAATATTTATAATTTGAAGACCATAATAATATAAATTTCATATAATTCTGCCTGCGAAAATGCGATGGATATTCAGCCTTCTCGTTGTTACCGCTGAAATTGCGTGAGAACAGCGGAGTTATTAAACTAGCAAATTAAGGACAATTAACGAGTAATAATTAATCCAGATTAATTATAGTGCATTAATGCAACATAATTAATATAGCCAGCCCTCTCATTAATAAGGATTAATAACCCTCGCGGGACCGTTATTCGAAAATATTAATGAGTTATTAATTGGAGCGAAACTTTAATGCAGAAATTGAATGATTAAAATTTATTCCCGGAATGGCACGCAATGAATGCCAACGCGCCATTTATGGGAGCCGAAAATTGCCTTAGGGCATAAAGAATATGAGAGAAAAAATTACCAGTGCTAATGTAATTACCATTGCTAAGGGATATTGTGATGGCTGAGGGAAATTGCCATTGCTGAGGGAAATTGCCATTGCTGAGGGAAATTGCCCTTGCCGAGAAAAATTGCCCTTGCTGAGGGAAATTTTCTTTGCCGAGAAAAATTGCCCTTGCTGAGGGAAATTGTCCTTGCTGAGGGAAATTGCCTTTGCCGAGAAAAATTGCTTTTGCTGAGGGAAATTGCCTTTGCTCAGAAAAAATATCATTGCTGAGGGAAAATACGAGACGTTGATGAATATAAAAGGCGGGGAAAGTTTAAAAAATCGTGATATTCTCTAATGATGAAATTCGTCACAAAAGAACATTCGCATAGGTACTAAAATTTGGATATAATATATAATTATATTCAACACGAGAATATTGGCGGTTGCAACGAAAAAGAATCAAGCGAGGGAAAAGGCGCACTACCTTCGACGGTCGTATTTTCTACGATAATCTTAAGTTCTACGATGAAGTCCACATGAGTTCAAGAGATTTTATATGAAAATTAGCCTCAAATAAAATTCATTTAGGGCATGAGCTGTAGAGGACATGAGAATAAATATATTATACGAGTATAAATTTATATATAAAATATTATATATCTATTTAAATATAAGTATATTATATTAGTACTCATTTCTAAGCACAGCTCAATATCGAGAAATTCTAATGGCTAGCAGAGAGGCTTTAAAATTTTCATCTATTCTTAACTTCAATGAATGTGAATGAATCGAGATCTAACACCAATGAGATGAAAATATAACAATGCACTCTAAAAAATCACGTTGAAAAATAGATTATAAATCCAAAACATAGAAATTTTCCTGTAAATTTTCCCGAAAATATATAATTCAGGGTGAATCATAAGTCAGAAAAATTGATAGATAATAAATTTCTAATATTTACACGCTTTCTTCCACAAAGAGAGAGCAGAAAGCGAACGTAGCACGGATAAAATCTTTTATCCGGGCCAAACTGAGTTAGGACGACCTACACAAGAGCTAGAAAGTGCATCGCTATTTGTACAAAGTCCCACCCATTACTTTGAGTGTATGTTTGGTTTGGTTGGTTGTGTTCCGTAGTCACAAACATCCTGACGATGAAGCGTGCTCACCAGCGAACACTTCTTACAATGCAATACATAGAATTTCTTGCTTAAGATATAAGAAAAAAAGGAAAGTTTTTTGCATTAAAGAACTTTTTATAAAAAATATAGTTTTTCTGTGGAGGCGGAAAACCTGCATAGAAGCTGTTGTTTAAACCGAAAAAATGAATCGCTCACGAGGAAAAAAATTCTTCTTGCTTACAAGGAGAAAAATGTTGCATTAAGTTAACAATAACATTTTACTACCGCAGCATAAAGATCGTGAATCCATTGCTTTATTATACCTATCTTATGAATTTTATAAATTCATATAAATTCCGAAGTATTCCATCTGAAAAGATAAATACAAATTTGCAAGAAGAATAAGATAGGAGACGACGCTACAGTTCCAAGCAGCTGCAGTGCGTGCAGCAGCAGTGCGTGCAGCAGCAGTGCGTGCAGCAGCAGTGCGTGCAGCAGCAGTGCGTGCAGCAGTAGTGCGTGCAGCAGCAGTGCGTGCAGCAGTAGTGCGTGCAGCAGCAGTGCGTGCAGCAGCAGTGCGTGCAGCAGCAGTGCGTGCAGCAGTAGTGCGTGCAGCAGCAGTGCGTGCAGCAGCAGTGCGTGCAGTAGCAGTGCGTGCAGCAGTAGTGCGTGCAGCAGCAGTGCGTGCCAAGACTCACGCACGGCGGTACAGTCACCACATAAACATCACCAGCACTCCCGGCAACTGCAAACAAACATCAGCCTACGAATGCACCGCCACAGCGCACCATCTTAGCGCACCAATGCAGTATCATCATTACTGGTGAGGCGCACCACTACCGGCAGCACCACAGCACAACGTAACAATGCAACACAGCCTCACACTCATCACTAAACACCACTCATTACCATGCACCTCCGGTCACTATCACGCACTCTCACGAATCACCACCACGCGCCACACTTTCACCACCACGCACTATCATCACCACGCACCACACTGTCACCACCACGCACCATATTGTCATCACCACGTACCACACTTTCACCACTAGGCACCACCACGCACCATCACCATGCACCACCACGCACCACGCACCGGATGCTGTTGTCTGCGTGTGGTGGCCGCCACCGTCGCAGCCGCGGAGATGCTCGCTAATTCTTAACGCAACTGGCTGCGATCTTTACATGAATTAATCACAAATAAAATCAGACAAGAACTTTTTTCCAAAGAAAAACCTCGTCAGAAAAAGTCCAGGATTAAAAAAACTCGTGTTTAGGACGCTGAGTCCGTCTTTGCGGATCCGCTGTCGTAATTCCGACTTCGAATTTCATGACTCAGCAGCTCAGCTGCGTGAGAAGTCCTCAGCGTGTAGCAGAGATGAGCACAAACACTCAAACAAATGTGAGGCAAGCATGGAAATGCAAACATCAATGCGCGGCAAGCATCAAAAATGCAAACATCAATGCGCGGCAAGCATCAAAAATGCAAACACTGCACCGCGGCAGGCTTTTAAAAATTCACCACAGCAAAAAAAAAAAAACTCAACACAGCTGAGCCGAAACATGCTACTCCTCTGCCTTTACAATGAAATAATATCGTGTAGTCTCAATACAATATTTTCAACCGAACTCGAGAGATAAACTTTTTAGCCAGTCAAACATCCTGTACAAATTTTTCAGACAAATTTTTATTAGGTACAGAGCCATATAGTAATTCTCATAATAACTTCTTTTCTGCGCATCTATTCTCAATTGTCCAACTAAACTCGAGTTTCACAATCGTTCATATTATCATTATTATTTATTTACAAACAAGGTGCAGGCCGAAGTAAAGGGTATTTGTTGCAACTCTCTACACAGAAACGTGAGAGTACGCATACACTTACGCATATCTGACAATGCTGCGCACCGCACAGCCACTGCACCTGTATGCATATATATGCCAACGCTGTGCAGCACACACAACCACCGTACCCACACACACACACCATGTATATCAATGCTGTGCACTACGCACAACAACTGTAACTGTATACAAATATTTATTAAGGCTGTGCACTACGCACAACCACTGCACCTGTATACACATATATACCAATGCTGTGCACTACGCAAAACCGCTGTACCCACACAGAGCGGGTACAAACCTTGCACCGTCGAACTGGTTTTCGCAGCGTCGGTTGTTCTCTGTTTCACAGAACCGGTTCCTGGAGAACCAACCTGCCACCGCTGCCGGTCTCCCTGCATTGTTCTGACCACAGCACGCCAGTGGGCAGCGTGTGTGGAGCTCTTGTTCTTCTACAGGCTTCTGGGTCACGATTAATAATTGGAATACCCCAGAACTACAATTAATTTAATATGTGGCCTACAACAAAATATAAAGGCCCAGGGACCAGTATATTATGTTATGGCTCCTGGTACATAATGACATTGCACGGCCCAGTCTGATTTTGGCCAACGCTTATAAATTACACAATTTTAGAGCTAGAAATTAATTTAGCAACAGAAAATAGATTATCGAGTAAGCGATGTCGAATTATTCGCAAAAACCCGGTAGCTGCGCAAAAGTTACTAGCTGGTCTGAGCGCAAGATAAAAATAAAATGAAATAACCATTTCATTTCAGTTGCTGTGTTGCTGCACAAGATGTCGGGAAACCCCATAAGAATCAAGGAAACAATAACAATAGGAGATAATTTTAAATGATAGAAGTGATTCGATATACATTGAATAACAATACATGGAATGCGTTTTTACTCATCATACAACAGTAGAAAGAATGTCATAAGCAGTCATAAATGTCAAGTCTACAAGGTCAAGAATGTCTTATTTTGCGTCTGTCGTCAACCTGACAGTGACATCGTTTTACTCTGATACACGGGCTCTAAATAATGAAACTTATAATACATAATAATAATCTAAATAATAATGAAATAGGCACAATATTGTGCTAATATATAGCCACAATATTGTGTTATTGCAACAAAAATTGCAATTAACTTACCTCTGTAGGCGGATTCAGTAGCAGGCAGAGACTCAGTCTGTATTTCCAGGCCGTCTTGTGCTTCTTTCGAGTCCGCATAATAGTAATCTTCATCATCATCAATAAGAATATCACCATCACCACCATCACCGAAAACCTCACCATCATCACTAAGCCCTTCACCATTATTACCTGTGGTGATGTGTTCATCACCATCAACGTCACCTCCAGTAAAATGCGGAATGTTTTCAGATGCAGTTCCTTCACCAAGAAAATCCTTGTTTTTTTCGGCGCGAGCATCAGAAGGCCGGGCAGTTCGTGGGTCACTTTTAGCTACGATTATTTTCTCGCTGCCAAAGGACTTTAAAAGTCCATGACTCAAGTCTGCGCCTTTTTTGGTCAACTTGAGGGACTTACCAGCGTGGAGTTTGCGATGCTTGTGCAATTTTTTCCGACTTAGAGGATCTGCGAGATTTTTATTCTTCAACTTCATTTCATTAATCCCGAATGTGTCTTTTTCCGACTTAGGCTCGAGTTTAATGTGTGGGATTTTGTTCGTGGATTTCAGCAGCTGCAGTGCCTCTTCGACGCTCACGAAAGTATCCTTGGATATACGAACTTTATCGCCGAACTTTTTGGTAAAGTTCGAAGTCTGGAAGTCGTGCGACTTCTCGTGGTACGAAAAGTTTTGAGGCCTCACGAGCGGTGCTAAATAATCACTGGGGCCTTGCGCCTCTGCCATCGTCGGGCCCATCAGCATGAAGAATGCGGACAAAGATATGCCAAGTGTGGCCCCAAGGGCCCGAAACTGGCCCATTCTGTAGGATTTATCGGAGTGGCCCCTACAAAAATTCGGGCCCGTGTGAGAATCTTGCCGGACACGAGGGCCACGATAAGGGGGGAGCACCGTATAACTTCTTTGGTTCACATCAGTAACCTGATTTAATTGAGATGAATATTTAAATTTCACATTTGATCAGGAATGCAATTAAATGTTTTCAGTCTCTAAACTCTTAGATGAATAACTTTATTCAGAGTTAATATAATAAATAGTTTCATTTGAGTTTTACCGCACAAACAACTTGTATTGACTTCGTTGACATTTGACATCCACCAAGTGGTGGGTGTAACAAATATAAATATTGGTCGCTTAATTGCGTGCACACTTTTTCCTAAAATTGAAACAACGCAGGCACTTTATAAAAATGTTTTTATGTTTTCAAACCAACTTCGAATAAATCATAAAAAAGTTGGCGATTTTTGATCAGTTTCTTGTATATATAAACAAGTAAATAACTTTTCTCCATAACATTAAAGCCTTTCTTGATCTCCTCGAGCTTCTTCACTTATAAAGCTGCACGTAACTATCAGGTTCATGAACTGCGGCGTCTATTGACAATTAACAATAATGACACTTCGTTAAATGGTTCTGAAAAAAAAAAACAAATCCATTAATATAGTTTTTCAAATAAAACAAAGAAAAAATGACAGCCAAAAAGTCGTCTATACTGAGGTCTTCGGTAGATTGCATGCGCACGGTTTTCGTTTGAAGATAAAATATAAAAGCGAAATGAAACTTATCACGAGGAATAGATAAATAATTAATCCATGTCGTCATCACAGCATATTAACCGTCAACCTCATCATAATCATTTCACACCATCATTTGCAGGCATAATCATCCTCATATTTGACTATCAGCACCTCCTACTCTACCCTCACCATCATCATCAGCCAGAAATCATTATAAAAATCCCTTCTCAACCCCACCATCACTATCCTCTTAACAATTACGATTAAATTTCACATCAACACTCCAATAATCATCATCCCCATCACATTTCTTCCCCTGCCACCATCATCACCCAGGCCTCCATCACCATCATCCCCACCACATTTTTTCCACTGTCACCATCATCACCTGACCTTCATCACCATCATCACCCCGACCTCCATCACCATCATCCCCACCACATTTCTTCCCCTGACACCATCATCACCCCGGCCTCCATCACCATCATCCACTCGCCAATTTTTCATGCAGGTCCCCATGATCATCAGGGGCGGTGCGTGACGGCAAGAATCAGTTCCCCAGAATTTGAGGCCAAAGGGGGAAAGCAGCGGCAAGAATTATGAGATTTTCCCTGCTTTGGAAGTCCTTGAAAAACGCGCCCGCCTCACGCGTGCTAAGAGGCGTTCAGGACCCCTGCCTCCATCAGCTGATTACGGACGAACAGGCAAGAAATGAGGCGGAATTTCGAACGATTCAGGTATTCTTGTGTCCGGCTACGGAATATTGTTCTTCGTGTAAAGTATTATGCAGCTCCATATGCAGTTCCGGGTGTGGAAGTACGTATGATCGAGGTGTTATATACCTGTTATACCTGTTGTCGAGGTGGTATATATTCCTTACGCATGGACGAGGTGTTATAGAATGCATCTGAGAAATGTCAAAGAGCTAATTATAAATGTTTGATTCGACGTCTTTTTTTATGTATTCAAAACTTGAATTATTACAAAATGCCAGCTGGACGGGCAGGCGGCTCAACACATACATTTCTAGCTCGGTCTGAAGCGTTCTGAAATCTTGAAGATACTATTATATCAATTTATTAGTATCAAAGAATGTTATTGCATGCTGTTCACGAGACGTAAAAAAGTGGCTTTCGTCGCGGCAAGATCTTGCACTTCGAGAGGCTCAACGTTTGCCGAGCTCTCGACGGCCTCCGGTGACACTCAGACGGAGGAAAATAGCTACCAGTTCTTCCTGTTCCATCAGCGTCTGCCATCAAATCCACCAGCACACACTGCCGTCAGATCCACCAGCATACACTGCCATCAGATCCACCAGCATACACTGCCATCAGATCCACCAGGCGCTGTGGCACACCCCAAACAGCACCACAACACAGCTGTATTATCATTAATCATATCTTAATAATGTATTTTGTTATCATTTATCATATATTAATAATGTATTTTGTTATCATTTATCACATATTAATAATGTATTTTGTTATCATTAATCATATACCATAATGTATTTTATTATCAATAATCATATATTAATAATGCATTTTTTTATTATTTATCATATAATAAAAATGTATTTTTTTATCATTAATCATATATTAATAATGTATTTTATTAGCGTTTGTCATATATTAATAATGTATTTTATTATCATTTATTTATTTTAGGAAAATTATTTCGAATATTTTCAGCAAGATTCAAGTTTTAAGCCGGCGAAACTTTCGTCAGCTGTACGCTGGCTGTTGGGATATTTTTGCTGGGAGAAATTTTAGGCGTTGGAGTTATTTGCAGGCGAAATTTGTATGGGGAAAATTTGAGATTCCAAAATATATAAGATAAAAACTGTGGTAGTGTCCATTTGGGCCACTTCATACTAACCGGACTGAGCATGCAACGAACTTCTGTCGACTGATATTCCTGATAGTTCTGCATACTGGGAAAAGCTAACTAATTTGTTTTCACTCAATCGAAAGTATCTGCATAAAATCATAAATATTCTATAAAATAAATGTTTACACCATTAAAATTAGCGACCATGCAGGACTGTGATAATTTGACTGTGATCAGTATGTCTATGGTGACAGTATCTTGCAAGTTTATCTCGAGTTCGAGCTTCTTACGAGAGAGCGACAAAGACATAGAGACACCATCATACAGACACAACTATCGTAGCATTACTATAGTGACACCTCTTTAGTGACATCCCCGATAGTGACACCACCGCTGAGGGCATAACTACAGTGTACATCTGCTGCAGCATCACTACAGTCACTACGTGCAGTGACGTAGCTGATAACTCTGAGTCTATGACCCCTCAGGCTGGGCTGGCCTACAAGCGTAGGTAATGATACAGATGTGATAAAGAGCTTGACTGAGACGCAGTGCAGATTTGGCATGAGCAACAGCACACAGCGTGAGTGCTGTGCAGCAGCACACAGCATGAGTGCTGTGCAGCAGCACTCAGCGTGAGTGCTGTGCAGCAGGGACAGCGTGAGTGCTGCTGCAGCAGGGACAGCGTGAGTGCTGTGCATCAGGACACAGCACAGAGCTAGGAACGCTGCACATCACAGCCTCTGCACTCGTCTCCCTTCGCAGCGCTGGCTGCGTGTATACCGTGGCCGCTCATTATAAGACAACAACATTCGATGATAAAAATTACTATCCGTGATATATCCACATGCAATCTAGTCGCACAAACTGGCTTCCTTTCATTAATTAAAAACTATTTTTATAATACTTTACCGCTATCTTATAGCATTATGCTTTGCGCTTAAACTGCCAGCCGCTATACTGAAACTGCTCGTTTTTTTTGTTTATGAGAATAATTTAGGTTGCGCTAACTTTGCACCTAATATTGAAGCAATCAATAAGCAATTCAACAATAAGGAGAAATATGTTGTGTTGAAACCATATACGGCGTACAGAAGCAAGCTGAATTAGGATTTATCCGAGCTACAGCTCTTATACTTTAAACCTGAGCAGCTACAGAGTTAACGGTCAGCAGAGGAAATGGAAAGTCAACCTTGTTTTCCTTTGACATTTATTTGTTAATCCATTCGAGGACTAATTTATTCATGTCTAAAGGAAACTGACGACTTAGAACTCTGAGTGGCCAGTAACTCGATCGGTGACTCAGAACTCTGACTGACCAGCAACTCGGTGACTCAGAACCCTGAGTGGCCAGTAACTCGGTGACTCAGAACTCTGAGTGGCCAGTAACTCGGTGACTCAGAACTCTGAGTGGCCAGTTACTCGGCGACTCAGGACTCAGAACTCAGAGTGGCCAGTAACTCGGAGCGTAGCAATCATCCCTACCGTCACACAAAGGATTACTTGAAGCTTGCAATTCGCTGCCGTCAAAAGGAACTCATCGAGTTTAACTCTTTTATTCTTGTCGATGCTTTAATCTCATCAGAAAACATTTAACTGCTGTAGCTGCTAGACCTGCCTCTGCTGTACATATAATCTCATCAGAATACATTTAACTGCTATAACTGATACATCAGCTGGCGCTGCTGTATAAACGGCTGCTGCGAATGTGTCTATACATTAGCAAAAATTTTCAAATAGATTGCAATAATTTAAATGGCCATTGCATTAAAATAAGATAAATAAGTTTTACATTAGTATAGGTACTAGTTTTAATTCTTCAATATGGAATACGTAATTATGTTGTTTAAAGGAAAATTATTGCCGAAAAACAGTTGTCTCTCATTTAAGTGACGATTATTGAATTATTTTTTACGATCAGAATTTTTACTTAAATAGCAATTTACCATTAATTTTTAAAAAGACAACGAGAAATTTATTCATTCATTCATGGCCATATTTCCATACTTTTTCAAAATTATTCGCATTCGGAGGGGAAACAATCAAAAACGCAGCGGAACCCGAGCTCCAAAAAACCCTCAAGTCAACTCATTTTAAGGTAAACGCACTGCCATAATCATAATATAATTATCAGGTTCACTACGAATTGTTGAAAGCAACAATATTTGGTTATTATACACATAGACGGTATAACGATAAATGAAAAATCCAGTAAGAATTGTGTTCCAACTCAAAAAACTCCTCAACCACCATCACCGTTCAACCTTTCATCAACTTCAACCTCAACCCAATTGTCAGATTGGCCCTCAAGTCAACAATTCTCAGCCACTCCAACCACTCAACCACTCCCACCTCTCAACCACTCCCACCTCTCAACCACTCCCACCTCTCAACCACTCCCTCCTCTCAACCACTCCCTCCTCTCAACCACTCCCACCTCTCAACCACTCCCTCCTCTCAACCACTCCCACCTCTCAACCACTCGCACCTCTCAACCACTCCCTCCTCTCAACCACTCCCACCTCTCAACCNTGCAAGCTTTCCCTCTAGTCATTAGGTAGAGATAATCTCTGCAAGCTTTCCCTCTAGTCATTAGGTAGAGATAATCTCTGCAAGCTTTCCCTCTAGTCATTAGGTAGAGATAATCTCTGCAAGCTTTCCCTCTAGTCATTAGGTAGAGATAATCTCTGCAAGCTTTCCCTCTAGTCATTAGGTAGAGATAATCTCTGCAAGCTTTCTCTCTAGTCATTAGGTAGAGATAATCTCTGCAAGCTTTCCCTCTAGTCATTAGGTAGAGATAATCTCTGCAAGCTTTCTCTCTAGTCATTAGGTAGAGATAATCTCTGCAAGCTTTCTCTCTAGTCATTAGGTAGAGATAATCTCTGCAAGCTTTCCCTCTAGTCATTAGGTAGAGATAATCTCTGCAAGCTGTCCCTGCCATCAAGTACAGATAATCTCTGGCAGCTCCCCTCGAGACAACAACTCCGTACCGTAATGCGAAGCTAACAGCCGAGTAAGAATCATTATATAGAATAAATCCTGACAGTCGGAGACGTGGCAGTTGTGGCAAGCGATCGAAACACGGTAATATTGGATTATGACAAACGACACATAAATGATAAATATTAATAATGAAGTCTGGAAGAAGCATGTCGACAAAGCAAAGATTTCCTCCTGAATTGTTTTGCCCAATTTCAATTTTCTTGAAAAATTACAATTTTCAACGCACATTTCATCACGAAGGCCGAGTAGTATGCGGCGTCATGGGGTTTTGCTTCCCACACCTGCATGCTGTAGAGGCTAGAATAATAATTGCAAGATATGGGCGGGTGTATCCTCGATTTTTACAAGGCCTGAGAATGGGTAAAATTAACCTATACATGCTTTGGGACCATCGCGCCAACTGTGACGACAAATTGCCACAGCGCCAACTTACAGGAGCAACAGGGCAATGAACCCTTGACCGTGACGGCAGCCCGAGACATCGACCCTAGCAACAGGAGGACTGAACCCTATACCGAGATGGCAGCCCAAGACATCGACCCTAGCAACAGGAGGACTGAACCCTATACCGAGATGGCAGCCCGAGACATCGACCCTAGCAACAGGAGGACTGAACCCTATACCNGCAGCAGCAGCAGCCACAGCAGCAGATGCAGCAGCCACCACAGCAGTAGCAGCAGCAGCAGCCACAGCAGCAGATGCAGCAGCCACCACAGCAGTAGCAGCAGCAGCAGCCACAGCAGCAGATGCAGCAGCCACCACAGCAGTAGCAGCAGCAGCAGCCACAGCAGCAGATGCAGCAGCCACCACAGCAGTAGCAGCAGCAGCAGCCACAGCAGCAGATGCAGCAGCCACCACAGCAGTAGCAGCAGCAGCAGCCACAGCAGCAGATGCAGCAGCCACCACAGCAGTAGCAGCAGCAGCAGCCACAGCAGCAGATGCAGCAGCCACCACAGCAGTAGCAGCAGCAGCAGCCACAGCAGCAGATGCAGCAGCCACCACAGCAGTAGCAGCAGCAGCAGCCACAGCAGCAGATGCAGCAGCCACCACAGCAGTAGCAGCAGCAGCAGCCACAGCAGCAGATGCAGCAGCCACCACAGCAGTAGCAGCAGCAGCAGCCACAGCAGCAGATGCAGCAGCCACCACAGCAGTAGCAGCAGCAGCAGCCACAGCAGCAGATGCAGCAGCCACCACAGCAGTAGCAGCAGCAGCAGCCACAGCAGCAGATGCAGCAGCCACCACAGCAGTAGCAGCAGCAGCAGCCACAGCAGCAGATGCAGCAGCCACCACAGCAGTAGCAGCAGCAGCAGCCACAGCAGCAGATGCAGCAGCCACCACAGCAGTAGCAGCAGCAGCAGCCACAGCAGCAGATGCAGCAGCCACCACAGCAGTAGCAGCAGCAGCAGCCACAGCAGCAGATGCAGCAGCCACCACAGCAGTAGCAGCAGCAGCAGCCACAGCAGCAGATGCAGCAGCCACCACAGCAGTAGCAGCAGCAGCAGCCACAGCAGCAGATGCAGCAGCCACCACAGCAGTAGCAGCAGCAGCAGCCACAGCAGCAGATGCAGCAGCCACCACAGCAGCAGAGCAGGCTATATCACGACGCAATACCAGCAAGACTGCCGACGAGATGACAGCGCATCTCATTGCTGTATATATAATTACTCCACTCGCGTCCTGAGTATTGCTGCACGCAGCTACAGTTACGGGGAGGGCTGGGGAGTAGAGAAGAGGAATTGCGTGGGAAACGTTATTGTGGGGACGCGGTGTGGGGGGAGGGGTGTGATGGCGCTGGAGGGGAGGTGCAGGAGGGGGAGGGGGAAACGTTGAGCAGCGTAGAGCGAGCAGTAAAATGTAGAGAAGTGAAAGATGTAGCAATGCAGGAGGGTTAAAGTAGGGAAAGGAGCAACATATGCGAAGAGGGTAGTGCAGGGAGCAGGGGAGGGGGGCGCAAGCAATGAAAGCGCGCGGTGCCCCTACAGAACAGCGCAGCTCAGGCGAAGGTCATTGCCCGGCCTAGCCTCTGCAGGGGGCCTCAGCCTCACCCTGGCCTCCGTATGGTGTCTCAGCCTCACACTGGCCTCCGCATGGTGCCTCAGCCTCACCCTGGCCTCCGTATGGTGCCTCAGCCTCACACTGGCCTCCTCATGGTGCCTCAGCCTCACCCTGGCCTCCGTATGGTGCCTCAGCCTCACCCTGGCCTCCGTATGGTGCCTCAGCCTCACACTGGCCTCCACATGGTGCCTCAGCCTCACACTGGCCTCCACATGGTGTCTCAGCCTCACACTGGCCTCCGTATGGTGTCTCAGCCTCACACTGGCCTCCACATGGTGCCTCAGCCTCACACTGGCCTCCGTATGGTGCCTCAGCCTCACACTGGCCTCCGTATGGTGCCTCAGCCTCACACTGGCCTCCACATGGTGTCTCAGCCTCACCCTGGCCTCCGTATGGTGCCTCAGCCTCACACTGGCAACCCTGGCCTCCACATGGTGCCTCAGCCTCACCCTGGCCTTCACATGGTGCCTCAGCCTCACCCTGGCCTCCACATGGTGCCTCAGCCTCACCCTACACTGCCTCAAATGTATTCTGTATGCTGTCCCCCTGGTCCTGGTTGAATGCCTCCTCCAATCCCTCTGCTTGATTTCCGAATCGCACGGATGACGAAGGATGACGAACGATAATCGAGCAGTAAATGTTGGACTCATGAATTAACTCTACTTGAATAAATGAATTAATAAAAAATAATGTATCAGTTGATAATTAGGATACAATTCTAAGCGATCACTAATAAATTCGATTTTCTAATTCTTTATTATTGGCATGCGGATAGGAAAATGAATAAAATCCTAAGACATATTTCATGATTGGCGCAATGAAGATTTGATATTTTACTTCGAATATTTCGACGATCTGTTGTGCAGAGAACGTCTAACTGTAACTCTAAACCATTGAGCTGTATTGTAATTTGAATATTTCGATGCACCTGTGGCTCAGAGAACGTCTAACTCTAACTCTAAACCATTGAGCTGTATTTTAATTAGAATATTTCGATGCACCTGCGGTTCTGAGAACGCCTAATAAATAATTAAGCCCTTGAGCTGAGTCTCGATTTAAATGCTTCAGAAAAGAAACGTCGGAACCTCATCGCTAGACATCCCTCGGCGGGCGTTAGCAAGAAAGTTGTTAATCCACTGGCCCGACAGCTGTGAGGTTGGAGGGAGAGTGTGCGATGTGGAGGCATTTTTCCACGCTATAATAAGAGCAGCAATAAATAAATACCCACTCTATAAACCGATGAATGAAGTGATCATGTCGCGCTGTGATAATAGCTGCGACGTCACACACAATTAAGCCGTCTCATGTGGTGTCATCGTTTCACACTATCATAACAGCAGCAACACCATACACGCATACACTACAAACCGATGTGAAGCTATCTTTTCACATGATTATAACAGCAGTAACACCAAACACCTACTATATAAAGACCGATGTGGTATGATCTTGTCACACTGTTCACGATGGGGGCAGCAATGCTACACAAATTAAGCGTTCAGACGTGGTGTCATTTTCCACGCTACAAGTAGGACAAGCAAGGCAGATCTCGCGAGGACTTTTTGTTTCCGTCCTCAAAGATCAGGAGCAACATTGCGGTACAGTGACCAGCGACCGTGTATCGGGCAAGCAAACATCCCAGGAAAGGGAATTGAGTCGAGTTTATTGCCAAAACAAAGCTGACTGCTGCCCATACAGCGCTGTTGCTTACATTGCTGCTAACTCAAACCATTTTCTGTGTCCTCAAGTGAAACACTTCTTGTTATCCAGTTGAAATGCAGCAAGGTTCGTTGACGTTCAAATTTACCATAACAAAACGTTTATAACGAAATTTGTATAGGAGAAAAGTGTTGCCATGAGAAAGTAAATCGTTGAGAAAGCTTCGAAGTATTTTGCAATGACATTTTGTCAACAGTATTTTTCAAAATTGGGTCAAGACTTTTGGTAACAGAAGCACCTCACACTTCGATCTCTAGCATAATGTCATCCGCGTTTCCTGACCTAACATTTGATCGACTGGATTCTTTCTTCACTTGCTTTTAAACCAAATGGGTTAATTAATTTTCCATCACCTATCATTTACACCAACTGGATCCTTTCGTTTCCTGTCACCAAACATTCACACTACTGGGTTCTTCCTTCTAACATTCACACCGGCTGGGTTCTTCCACCTTTTAATTCCAACACATACCCCGCCTAGTTTGTTTAGCTTCCTACCAAGCATTTACACCCACGCGTCTCCAGGACCCAGAGATGCCCGATGTTTAACACCAGAAGTGCGTGGTCAGCGACCTTAAGGACAGGGCAGACATAAGGCGATAGCAGCGCAGGTCAGCTTGGTATGGCGGCTGAGTGTACAGATAAGTAGGTTAGCACAACACTCTTCGCCATGTTTGCTAGCGCCTCGATAATCTTATTCTCCTCGTACAGCTTTCTCGGCCAATGATCGAGCCTGCCTTATCGCCAACATCAACGTTGGGCTCCAAATAAGCGAGCAGGCGATGACACCGAACGGCGGATCAAGAAGACAGAGGCAATCAACGCTGTGCTCCGAATCAAGAGGACAGAGGCAATAAAGTTAAATCAACACTGTGCTCCGAGTTAAGAGGACAGAGGCAATCAACACTTTGCTCCGAATCAAGAGGACAGAGGCAATCAACACTTTGTTCCGAATCAAGAGGACAGAGGCAATCAACACTGTATTCCGAATCAAGGGGACAGAGGCAATCAACGCTGTGCTCCGAGTCAAGAGGACAGAGGCAATCAACACTGGGCTCCGAATCAAGAGGACAGAGGCAATCAACGCTGTGCTCCCAATCAAGAAGACAGAGGCAATCAACACTGGGCTCTGAATCAAGAGGACAAAGGCAATCAACGCGGGGCTCCAAGTCAAGAGGACAGAGGCAGTCGACACTGTGCTCCGAATCAAGAGGACAGAGGCAATCAACGTTGTGCTCCGAATCAAGAGGACAGAGGCAATCAACACTGTGCTCCGAATCAAGAGGATCAAGTGGATAGAGGCAATCAACACTGTGCTACGAATCAAGAGGACAGAGGCAATCAACACTGTGCTCCGAATCAAGAGGACAGAGGCAATCAACACTGTGCTCCGAATCAATAGGACAGAGGCAATCAACGCTGTGCTCCGAATCAAGAGGATAGAGGCAATCAACACTGTGTCCGAATCAAGAGGACAGAGGCAATCAACACTGTGCTCCGAATCAAGAGGACAGAGGCAATCAACGCGGGGCTCCGAATCAAGAGGACAGAGGCAATCGACGCTGTGCTCCGAATCAAGAGGATAGAGGCAATCAACACTGTGTCCGAATCAAGAGGACAGAGGCAATCAACACTGTACTCCGAATCCATAGGCCGCCACATAGTACACTATGGGGCACTGCATACCACCACATGCACATTGCACATGCCAACACCACAACACCATCAGAAGCACAGCATTCTGCTGTAGGAGGGAACCACAATAACCCGCAGCAAACAACCCTTGGTCCAGTGCACGGTAACTCGAGCTCCCTTGCATTTAGGTAGGTATAACGTTGGCGGCGTTCAATGGATACAAAGACGAAAGGTTAGCCTTTTGTCTAACGACGGACGGTAACTCTCGTTTCTATTCCTTGAGGTACGAATAGCATAGAAGACGGTTAATAGATGCCAAGACAAAGGGTTCCACACATCAACTTGGGCCCGTCCGTCATAAGCTGCAACGCGATATGTGCGGCTCGACCGCCGATATGACCTAGCCCAACTTCGACATAAAATAGAACGTTCCATTTTCAGATCGCAGATGCCAGTAAAAAGTTCAAGTTTCTGTAAAACAATTAAGACTGTAGCTTTGAGACAAAGTAAAATGTACTACAAAGTTTGATACAAAATTCCAGAATTTTTATAAAAGTTTTCTCCATTTTTCTTAGCCGGCTGCACTTTTCTTCGCGGGCCAAGAGGCTGCCAGGCTACCAATATGGCAATGCTATTTCTCTCAGAATAATAACTCCATTGACGCCGTAAACAGCTACAATATGTAATAAATTATTGATTCAATTATTATTTTATTTTCCTTTCAAATGCTTATATAAGTTTTCTTTCGAAGTAGAATTCAATTATATTTACGTCGCATCACGTTGCTTAGACTAAAAAAAGACCCAACTATTATATATGCACAAACTATTAACATGCATAAGTCTTAGCATACATGATGGTAGCAACACGCATGGACTGGCCATGACTTCACATTCCTACTCAGATAAGCAAGCAGGCTAGACTATTACGAAGCTATCGTGGAGCAACCAATATCACTGTTACGCTGCCTTTACTGCTAAAGACCTGCAGCTGAACTACACCTCCACCAGCAAATGCACATCACTGCCACGCTGCCTTCAGTCCTTTACTGATAAAAACCTGTAGCTGAATTACACCTCCACCGAAGAAACATAATTTTTTCAGTTCGACAAACAGCTTTGAGGCTAAGCCGTGTACAATAGGTAAATTTTTCTTCGATAGCAACTAAGTGATATAGGTAACAGTTACACATTACAAAAAATTTTACGGCAATTACCGGACATTCACCGCTACCAGCCCGGACGCCACACTCCCAAAAAGTGAGTGCATGGGCAGCCGTGCAGCGAATAAACGAAGGAGAGCGCGCCAGGCACGCGTAATTGAAGCGTCCGGTGACAGTTCATGGCAAGCGGCGGCGCGACAGATGCTCGTGGCCGTTCAAAGTGCATGTGGAGTGCGTGCAGTGTCTGAGGTGCTATGCTGTAGGAGTTGGTATAGCCTATAGGATGACTGAATAGGATAGAGAAGCAGTTAGGAACAGCAAAAAAATAGGAATAATAGGATAGGATAGGAGCTGCTTCTAATAGGATAGAAGCAGCAGTTAGCATAGGATGGACAAATATGATAGGAACAGGAGTTAGTACTGGATAGATGAATAGGATAGGAACAGCAGTAACATAGGATGGACGAATATGATCGGAACAGGAGTTAGTACTGGATAGACGAATAGGATAGAAACAGCAGTTAGAATAGGATGGACGAATATGAAAGGAACAGCAGTTAGTACTGGAGAGACGAATAGGAAAGGAACAGCAGTTAGTTAGGCATCTATAAGCTTAAGCTACATTAGCCATTTTTATCGATCATCCTAGGGTCGAAATAAGTCGATTAAAATTCACGATCGCATCAATTGTAACCACCTGCGCGCTCTTCATTGGCCGTGGCTGAAGAGTGAAATATATCAAAATAATTACGTTTTGGTGTATGCTGCTATTAATTGGCGGCTTGATGATGATAAATAAGACGTGAACTTCTAGCCGCGGTCATTTGACTGCACAAAACGAGCGCCTGAACTTCTCATCTCAGGCATGTCGTGGGGCAAGGCAACATCCCAGGCAAGTCGGTGTGAGATTAACAAAGTTAATTAATTACAGGCATTACCGTAAGTTGGCTAATGAGATTACTCTTACGACCGAGTAAAGAGTTTCATGTAATTTAGGAACTTTAGTTATGTTACATTTGTTTGCCTTACTCGTGTCGTTGGCGC